GAAGCAGCTCTCCAGTCTTCTTACCATTTCTCAGCTGTCCCTCCTGGTTTCATTTGCCCTGGTGGCTTCAGCTGCAGCCCAGCTGGCAACTGCTGTTCCCCCAGGGCTAGTGCTCCCCCATGGTCCTTCCCTCCCCCTGTCATGTCTGTGCCTACATTTGAGGTCAGCAGCCATCTCACCACCACCTTCCACTTACCACCACCCAGCCTCAAAGGTTCCCCCAGAGAGATGCTGTGACCACCTTTTAGAAGGTGCTACAAACACTTCTAAAGCCAATCAGAGCTCTCCCCTGTGTCACATCTCACCTGGCTTCCCAGGACAGGACAATTCCCATGCGACAGTAACTCCACACATAGCAGACTCATATCAGGACAGGTCCATCAAGGGTAGGAAGTTTCTTCAAAAGTCATTTAGAAAACTTAGATTAAAAAAAAAATAAAGTGCTCCAGCTACATGAAAGGCTCCAGTGTGACCCCACCAGCTGAAGCCCCAGGACACTGGCCTGGTGGGGGCAGGTACCAGCCAGGCTGGTCAGCACCCAGGAGGGGAGCAGGTCTCTTTTAATTCAGCTACTGCAGCAAGCTGGAGTTCATCTGCTGCCTGTCACCATGGAAGTTAAATGTTTTAAATTAATGCTGAGGGGAAGTTGTAGGCTCCTCATTGATACCCATTGAAACAATTTAGATGATTTTGAAATAGTTGGGGATTCATGTCAATCAACATCAATAAAAGATCTCCAGGTGAAAACAAATATTTAAAAGACTAAAAAGTTTAACTGTTTGACATCATTTGGTATAAATACATCTTGGAGATCAGTAGGTGTGAAAGGCCAGTTCAAAAATTCTACAAAGTCTTTAATGATTTCAAAATTCCAACATGTAATTTGTCACATTCCTGTAAACTTGCAATACCCCTTGTGACCCTGTGGCATCCAATGTGCTGAATTTTAGTCAGAAGATTCCCAGCTCCCCAGATTGTAAGTAATGACAACAATTACAGAATTAAGCCATACAGAAAAAAATCCTTAATTTTTACAGTGAAAAACTGACAACAGTTCATAATGTGGTCTTTGATGGCCAATGTGCAGCCCCCCTATCCCATGGCCAGAATGAAGTCTGGCAACACTTCATCTCAGGAAGAACTTACAGAAGCAAGACATTTGGATTTTAGATAATTTGTTTAATTCATAATGCTCATTTACTGCACAGTTTTAATTCATAAATACAGATAAAATTGTTAAAAAGTCACAAATTATTATCTTATTTTTAAATTTCATTTTAATGGCTGTCCCTTAATATGCTATAGATGTGGAAATCATTGCAACTGGAACAGTTGCCAAGCAAAAACCTCATCAGAATGAAGCGATGCTCAGTGGGGCCCATGTTCATCTCTCCCTTGCAGCTTCTTCTTGTAAAAGGATCTACAGCAATCTTTGGTAGTATATGAAAACCAACCAACACCTCCAATAATTAATACAGACAAATAGTCAAAGATTAACAAGTTTTGCATTCATATTCATGCTGCAACACAAAATCTGTTTCTGTATTTTATTTTTTTTAAAAGTCACTTGGGAAGTTATGATGGCTTAAAACCACGTACCATGGGCTCTCTTCCTTTGCACTGCAGTGGCCAGCAGCTCTGCCCCTGAGCTTTGTGGGTGCAGGCACAGCCCTGAAGTCCTCACAGAAGCAGGAGGGATGGATCCAGTTAGTCTAAGGCATTAGAAATGATTCATGACACTTCTTCATGAATGCACAGAAAAATATCATAAGAAAGCACACATTATAAAAACATTTTTAAAAACCACCCCTCTTAAAAAAGTGGTGTGGAGTTCACAGGGTTTACTAGAAGATGTTTTATCCTAGTCTGAATAAGGGCTCTTCAGAAATCAACACAATGAAAACAAGTTAACAGCATCCCACAGAGGGTTAGGCCTAATATAACTGTGTTCTCTTCAGCTGCTTGTTTAGTGAACACTTTACGAATGACATGTACAGTCCGTGTGCTGTTGTCAGTGTATGACCAGATTGAACTATTACAATAAATGCAGTGCAACTTCTTTCTCTCTTGGGACAAAACCAGTGAGTAAATCTTCACACAACAGGAATGTTTCAAAGTGAAAATGGAAAACACAATTCACCAAGCCAGTAATCCTCTACGTGCTGCACATTGGGGGGGAGCAGCACAGCATCCTGCTGCACACTCACACTTAACCAAGTGCAGTAGAGAAGAAATTAGTCTACTATCTCAATGAAATAGGAGCAACTGTAATCTGTTTGAAAACACAAATACAAAAAATATATTTTTAAAGAAACAATGAAGAATTAAAAAAAAACCACAACAACCGAACAAGAAGAAATTAATTAGGTCTTTGGAGGTCAAGGCACCTGTTTTTCCTCATTTTCCCAGTTTGAAAAGTTAGAAACTCAAAAGAGTCAGTGTGTGCAGTGCTTCTGCAGGGCTTCCACCATCCTCCTTGTCCAGACCACCTCAAAAGAACTAGAAATGAATGAGCTTGGCACAGATGGCACTTAATGTTTTCCCCGTCGGCCTTCAAAAGCATGATGCTCTCTGTGTGCTAAGGAAGAGAGAAGGGGAAAAAAAGAATCAAAAGAACATATAAACTCTTATCAAAGAGTTAAAAAGACTAAAAAGAAGGGAAGACAGTGATGTATAAAGCAGCCAAGATAGACATGACACGCCAGTGAGTGATCTTTGGGAATACACTATTCTGAGAATACATTCATACAGAGCCTAAAACAAGAGATCCCTTAAAATCCCAGTTGTAAATGGCTCCTTTAAATGAACACTTCAATTAAACTGCAGGTAGTCTTGAGTTAAAGAGATTTGTCCCACTCATTTTACAAATCAGGCATATTCAACATGAAACCAAATATATTCTACAATCAAACTAAAAATACCTTCCATTTGGAGTGGTAGCTAACTTTGACATGCTCCTGCAAGGAGAGATGCTACATTTCCAACAGGTTAATGATGAATCAGATGTGTCACTCCCACGGAAATACCCTCCCAGCATCTTTTCTTCTCTAATGAAGGTGGAAATGAACAACACAAGACACTTACATTTATAAAAGACAGCTTTAAAAGCTGTGTGTGGCAGAAGTTTATGTATCTTTTCTAGAACTTTTGCTTCCCTTGCTAAGGCAGCATTCCCATTCCAGACTTGCACAACATCCTCACGGTCACGGACGCTGACGCTCACCCCTATCACTTCATCACCTGCACAGAGGAGGAAGCCTCATTAAGGAATACTTGAAAAGTGAGACATGTCCAATTTGATACTGACGTAGGATCAAACTGTGCCCAAAAGTTGAAGAAACTGAAGACATGAAAGAGCAGTCTCCAATGAGGAGAATACCAAGGTTCAAAGCAGACAAAACAGTCACCAGAAAAAAGTCAACACTGTATTTATAGAAGATACTGGAAATATTACCTCAGTGTTTTTTTATCAAGTGCCATAGGATTATTCATTCATCTTTGCTATTGGCACTCTTATCCTTGCTCAAGAGGGAACCACAAGACTCCCTTCAGGAAAGTCAGCAATATAAACTACTCAAGACAATTCACCTACAGTCATGTCTATAAGCAAAAATGGGAAGTGAGGGTGAAACAATTAAAACCCCAAGAACAGCACCTGGGGGAGATGAGGCACCAGCTTTTCCAGACTTTGCTCTCTCTTTTTTTTTTTTTTTTTGTCCTGCTGCTGCCTTGACAAAATGTAAAGGAAAAAGAAAACAAAGCCCCAGCCAGGCTGCTGCTGCCAGGGTGGGTAACTCCATGCTTGGCTGAAGAAGCCCTTTCTGGTGTGAAATTCTCAGGATGCAGTTTTGTGGAGAGCTCAGCCTAAGGCCAGGTCTCTGCCTCCTGCAGTTGAAGAGTGAGCTGGTTCTGCTCATGGGCCCTTCCCAGAGCCCATTTCCAAATGGAACGAGCAAGCCTAGAGAAGATACTTATTCCAAAAGTGACTTCAATAAATGTTTATCTCTGACCAAAATCACATGAGCTTCTGGATGATTCATGCCTGTTTTCCAGTAAACCAGAAAGGTATTTTAAGATTATTTCTGCAAATACAATCACACTAAAGATCACTTTGACCCAAGCAGTACTTTTAAGTGATAACATCACCTCTGGGTAGAGTGCTAACCCGGGATCCAGGAAAGCCAGCTTTGGTATGACCCTGCTATGGGCTTTTAATGTCACCAGGGGCAAATCACACAGCTTCTCCCTGCACAAGTGCTTCTCCTGCCAGCTCCTCACCCTGTCAGGAGAAGCAGAAGGGCTAAGGAGGGCTACTGGGGGCTTCCATTTAATTTACTTGCATCCAACTGTGGTGGTACAAACAATCTGGTGTGGAAATGTAGTCTGGGATTCCAGAATCCTGATGCTATAGAACTAATACTAATAATTTAAATGCTGGGTAACAGACAGACATTCAATAATTAGAAAGCCTGCTGGCTTCCCAGGCCTGCAAGCTGTTGATCTTGAGTCTTGTGCTAAGACAGTCAACAACACTTTGTTCTCTTCTCAATCATAACAGGCATGAATACAATTTCCAGCCCTGCACCCCATTTTAGCAGTGTTGCCATGTCCTGCACTCAGTGTTTGGCATGTCAGCCTCAATCATTTTTACAAGTTACCTGCTGCACAACAGTCTGTAAACTGCTCTCCAATAGTTGCCAACAGTAGCTCTTTCCAAACTGCAGCCTGAAAAAATAACCAAACAAAAAGCAAGAGAGAAGAAGAGTTGCATTTGCATTACTATTTTTAATTTAGAAGTTAAGTTTGGTAGCTCAGTTTTGAGTAAGTTTCAGTAATTTCTTCAATACATTTAAAGCAAGAATTTAAGTCCTGCAATCACACACTATTAAGACAGAGTTGTTCTAATAAATATTTTAAATATTTACGTTTACCTTCCCTGTTTCTGTGTTGACAACTCATCATGAATGCAGTAGCTAATGCAAATCATGAAAGTAGATTTCTCCTAAGAATTTCCCGTTATAAAAGACCATAAGGCTCCACTTTTGATCATTTATTTCTACAGAGAAGAATTACTATCCACTTTAAGGAAAGTACCTGAAAACCTTATCAGTAAATTAAATAGATTTATATTTAAACATCATCTCTGATTTGTCTTGACTATGAAATGAGTCCATCTTTCAATAAATTCAAATGCTTACTAGATAATTGAAACAGGGGGTAAAGCACTTTACCACTTTTCTTCAGTTGTTAGACTAATTACATGTTATTTGCTTTTGCCACTTGTTATCCCCTCAGCCAAAGCCCATACAAAACTTGCAAGGTGTCTGGACCAACACATTCAAGAATATGCCCCAAGGTGGGGGTTTACAGGGACAGAGTATTTTCTATTTATTTAAAAAAAAACCCAACAAATCCAAACACATTGACCTGTGTTTGCCACCATGACTTCTCTTATCTGTTACTTTTCAGGAATGCTGCATGTGAAGTCAGGTTGAGTTTTTGCACTATGAAAAGCCCCAACATACCAAACACATCAGGTTAAAACAAAAAAACGAGCAGACACGAAGTTAAGAAATCACCAAACCACTTGGCTGGCATTTCTGAGTGCTCCTAAGCTATCTTTTGGAACAGAAAGGATTTCTGTGACTCATGAACATCTAATCCAAGGCGCTGCATGAAGCTGGGCCATGGGAAGGGCCACCTGGTGGGGTGGTTGGTGTCCCTGTGACACCCACAGACATGGTGCCTGTGGCTGCCAGTGGGACAGCTCATCCATGGATGCTGGGACTGAGCAGGCACTGGGCTCACTACTGAGAGTTGCCCCAACAGTCTCAAGGGTGGGAAGCACTTCATCCTGTAGTAACCAGTTTCAGGATCAGGCTTACAAGGATCTAAAAAGTGTTAGTTTTCATATGAAAAACAGGCACACAGAGGGGGTCACTGTGCAGGTACAACAACATTTGAGTGTCAGTATGCTGTCAATCAGTTTTTCATACCACTTGAAAGACTGGTACTTTTGGAAAAAACCCCTACATTTCCCTCCCTCCACATCCTCAATGAGCCCTGCTATAGCATGTCACCTTTTTGAGTGAGGTCTGCATGAGATGCTGCTTCTTAAGCAAGGAGCTGTGGTGTGCACGTGTCAAAGAACGCAGCCAAAAAAATGAGAAGCAGTCACAAAGGCATCATTTACCCTATTTATGGAGGCATTAAAAGCTGACTGAAGTGCACCTGCAATTAAACATTTCAGAAGTGACCTGTTTTAATTCTGTAGAGAGAGAGAGATCAAAAAAATACCTTCACTTCAAAATGGGGCTACCTATCATTCAGCCTCTGGAAAACAAGGCTTCTGAGGTCCCTAAATTCAGCACCCAGTAACACAGGCTTCCCAAACCACTCATCACTTCTGAGAATCTTCACACCTTATATTATAAGAGGGAAACATATAAGAGGGAAAAGAGGATTTCAGTCCTTTGTGATCCCTTGGGACTGCAGGGGAGGAAAGTTGCAATTCACACACAGGGAAAAAGCCCCCAGGCAAAAATCAATTAACTTTTTGACTGAAATTTCAAGTAATATCTTTCAGCATTTAATGCCTCCTGCAAGGCTGCCACATTTTTCTGACACTTCACTTCTCATTGAAAGGCCTGATCCAGAACACACTGAAACACACAAACACCATGTGTGATGAGGTCAAATCCCTTTGCCATTACAGTTTACCAGAAAAGGTGCTTACATGCATTTGATTAGGGGTGCAAAGAGAAACCCAATTGTTTCAGCAGGCCTAGAACCAGCCTGAACCAATTTTATCTTTCACATTTTTTATATTCTTTGCATGCCTAAGCAAACAGTCTTAAGAACAAAGGTGATTATGAAATACTGTGTTTCCAAATGGAAATGGAATAAAACATTGCAGCTTTTAGTTGCTTGATAATACATCAACAAATGTGATCACAAGCAAGAGAGATGGAATTTCCCAATAAGAAACTTTTGCTCATAGTCTTAAAAGAGAAGGCTATAGATGTTAAAATAGTGTTTGGCTGTTGTGTTGAGTGATGTCAGAACTAAAAAGCTCGACAACAGCTTTATTAGATGGAGTTGAAAGAAACCCCCTTACTGAACAACATCTAAATAAGGAATCAATAGAACATACCGTGCTTTCCTTGGGGACCTTCATTTTCCATATACCCCCCTTGGCATTGCTTTCTTCTTCCCTGGTTATGGAACACATCAGGAAAACAAACATTCAAATCCACTTTGAGATAAACCTGTGTTTGGAGTTTAATTTTCCCACAAAAATCCCATTAGAAAGGCAGTCACTACCTCCAGGTAGCATGACTCAAGCTATGACTTCTGACATCAGAAGCAATTCTCTCATTGTTCATACCAAGGACATCATTCAACAGCTAATCCCTTCCCCAAGTTTTGTGTATTGGAAAATACATACACTTCCCTGACTACAGACCATCTTTGAAGTGCCTCCACACTATATGGGAACAAGCCATAAAGCAATTTTATGATTTTACTATGGTAACCTTTTATTTTGGAAAAACTCTGGCATATTTTCACAGAAGCAACATATTACTCTCAAGTTTATCCAGTTCAACAGAAGAACATGACAACACTTCCTTTCAGTTACGTGACAGCTAGGAATTCATTGCCTTTATTAAAAGAAAGGCTGTAGGTGCCCAGGGTCAGGGCAAACCCAACCATTAAACTGCTTCCCAATGACAAAGGCACAATGTACAAACCCATAAATAAGATTTTAAACTAGAGTTGTAGTTTCCTGTTAAAAACCTATAATAGTAAAAGTTAGCAAAGGAATGATCTGAAATTCCTCTTGGAATAGCTAAGCCTAGTCTGAGGCCTACAGAGATTCCCCAGGGTCAGTGGTCTCCCACCAATCCAGAAAAACACTGGAGAAAGGAGGGGGAAAACTTTGGAAAGACATCTTAAAATATTTGCAGTCCTCGATTCTTACTTCAAGATTTGCTTTTCCTCCTAAAAAAACCATGCTGTAATTCATCAGTGTAACTATAATCTGAGAAAACCTTCTTGGCAGTAGTAGTTAGTAGGTTACTGATGAGATCAATCTCCTGCAACCCACTTCCGAAAATACAAAATTACTTTGATAGGCTAAAAATAGATGGACCATTTTTAGAAAAGGTCTTTGCACTTCACACCTCTAACAGTCACTTAGCAAATCAAAACTAAAAACAGGAAAAACAACAACAAAAAAACCCCAAAACCACAAAATGTTCTCACTCATTGTTACAAAGATATCAAGACCTGCACATAATAGCTCAGTTGATTTACGCAGACGCCAACATTTTTTCAAACCCAGTTTAGCTATCCTGACCAGTCACAGCATTTCACTGGAGAAAATTATTTACTTGCTCAGTAGATTCAGAACAGAACCCCCCTGAGGTAATTCACCACCCAGTTAGACTTACTATGATCAAGTTAAGGAACTCTAATCCAATCACAATCCATGTAAACCATGCCAGAAAGACCCAAACTCTCCAGAAGTGCTTATGGTCTCTAATTAAAATGGGATGGAACTGAAAAATTTCTGAATGGAAAGCCTTAATGATTTTTACTTTATTTCATTACTGTCCTACAATCAAGTAGGAGTTTGCTGCTTTATCCAAGGTAGATGTGCACTTACATGCATGAAGCCAGGGGAAGAACAGCTAAGGACCATCATTTGTTCACATCATTATTGCACTGGCTTCAGTGGAAAGAAAAACTAGCAAGTAAAAGTAACCGAAGTACAAGTAACATATTCTGAGTATTCTTGAAGTGAAATTCAGAGTAATATTTTAATCTCTTAACTTCTTTCATAGTTTAATTTCTCTTACATTTACATTCAGAGGTGGACAATGAAATTACAGTCAGCGTTTGTAAGGCACTTCAGGACGAGTCACTTTTATGCTCAACAAGATCCCTGGGGGATTTCTTTTGTAGGTCTCTTGAGTTCAGGCACCTACAGGCAACAGAAATGTCTGCCTCTCTTCACCACTTCAGGTTGTTTCACTACCCATCCCCAGAACTAACCATAACACACCTACCAAAGCGGCCGCCTTTCTCCCCGCATTAAGTGGTAGCTGCATCTCAGGGGCAAATCTATCACAGGAGGAATATTGTTGTAAACACTCCAGAAATCCTTAAAAAGAAAAAAATACTAGTTGCATTAGCACAAGAGTAAGTTTAATGCAGATTTACTTCTGTGTTAATTTTCTTTAAAATTATTACATATCCTGCTCCTACAGAACTGGCAACTTCGACAGCGTCACAAAGTGCTCTGAAAAGAACTTGTTGCAATTTCACTGCTGCTGTGATTTTTTTAGGTGTCATTTCTGCATAAGGCTGAAGTAGAAAGAATGGGAACAGTTGAACTGTGGGTTACTTTAGAATCCAAGTCCTTAGGAACAGAGGAAAAAAAATAAATCAAAATTACAGTTATACTAAGTATGCAAGAACGAGTACATAAAACTTGCTTAGCATATTAAATATATGTATATTTATATCAAATACCCACCTTGCTTCACTTAAGACTATTTTGAACTTCATTATTATTATCCTGAGTTACAAAAACAACACAGTAATTCTGTTGCACTAAATGCCTATCTAGCAATCCATCTGCTTTGCCTAGATCTAGTGACGTTTCAACCATACGAAAGAACCAGGAACCATCAGATTACTTCCCAGCATTTCTGCTAGCAAAAGCAGAAGCTGTCACACATGGTTGGGGTGGATAAATGACACCCAAAAGCAGTGGTGAGCAACAGGGAGGCATGGCTGAAAAGATCCAAATCCCTTTTCAAAGGATTTTTAAAAACTTGCACCAAGGTGCAGCGCTGCAATATGGAGCATCAGTACAACTCACTAAGTGTTATCTAATACTCAACCATTAACACAGCTTTAGAAAAAAAAAATTGTAATGTTATGTGATAAAATTTTGTGTGAGAAAAAAAATTTTGGAAGAAACACCTCCTGCAACGTGACAACTTGCACAGACATCAGAAACTTCAGTAGATGACTGCAAGGGCTCCTTCAAAGAGAAGGCTTTGGCACTACCTTAGGATTTCAGTCTTGGTGACCTAGAGCTAACTTAGCATTCAGGTGAGACACAGCAATTCACTGCATTGCACACTAACTGTGGTATTAGAACCAAAATGCCATTTTACTTGCAAGCCCATGCTCAGCACTGGCAGATGACACAAAAGGTGCAAAATTTCTCATTGCTGCAACTACTGCAGGATTTCAAAGTACTTTAATTCAGTGTGCTAGGACAGAAAGAAGAAAAACCCCATAAGCTGTCACCTTTAGTCTTTGAGTCATTGTTTTCTGTATAAAATTTAAAACGGAGAAAAGGCAGAAAAACTATTTAACCAAGTACAAAAAGCAGAACAATCCAATGGAGGCACAAGTGGAAGCTGAGGAATGTTTGAGAATCAACCCAATGTTTGCCTGATCAACCCAACATGCTTCCTCCATTCCTGGGCTGGGAAGCCAAACGAAAGTCAAACAATGACCAGGTGAAACCACACGCAAACAATAGCACTCAGGTTTCATGCCACAGGTAAGAAAAGCCACAAATGTGACTCACCCATGTGAGGAGAAATTAAACTTAGGGTGTGAAGTGACATCAGTAACACGTGGCAGCTCCGCTAGCAAAGCCCTGCACCCACCTGCACTGTCTGCACCCTGTAAATCTGCTTCAGGTTAGATGCACATTCAGCCGCCGTCGTCCCGGGCAGTGACCTTGAAAACGAAGCAGAGACTAATAAAACTATTGATTTTATCAAGGGAGAGGAAGGGGGATGGCTGGGAAAAGCCAGGTTGAGATGTCCACACGCAGGAGCTGCACAGCAACTTCAGGCCCAGTGAGCACGGGTGCTTGGAAGAGAGGAATCCCAGCGCTTTTGCACCTTCGAATAAATGAAGGTTCAACAGGTATCCTGCAAAATACTTGGTCTCAACAGGTGAATGAGGAGGTGTAAACCGAGAAGAACCGCATTCTGCCCCGGGCTGCCTTGTTTTTAACCGCACTTCATACCCCCCAGGACCCTCCGTGCGCGCTCCAAGAGACGCTCGGCGTCCCGTGTTTCTAGGAAAGCTGATCCCCAGGACTGGTGCCGGGAACTCGGTTCATTCCGGCAGGTGGCAGCGGCGGGCCCGGCTGCTCCGTGTCCCCGTGGCTGGGGCTGGGGGGGGTTCATGCTCCTCCCAGGAACCGGCTCAGGGCTGACACAACCCCGAGGCCTTTGCTGCCCCTCACCCCTCCAGGAACAACCCAGGGGTGCACAGGGAGGTTCAGAGGGGACACGGAGGGACCCCAGCTGACCAGAGGGGTATTCCAGACCACATGAAGTTGTCTGAGGATGGAGAAGGAAGGGGGGACATTCAGAATGATGGGGTTTGTCTTCCCAAGGCTCTGTTACCCCCCCATTCTGAAGCCCTGCTGATGGGAAGTGCTGCGTTCATTCCTGGCGTTTGCTTTACTGGTTAAAGTGTCTGTATCTCAACCCACGAGTTCTCACCTTTACCCTTCCAATCCTCTCCCCACCCCAGCAAGGAGGGACTGGGGCTGAGCTGCCAGCTGGGATTCAACCACAACAGACACACAGCAAAGGTGGAACTGATCAGAAAAGAGTTAAAATTTCAAGAATCATCCTAACTGTAAGTTATAAAAACAAAATACCAAGAATTCACTGTGGTGCAGGTTGTACTCCTGTAGCTCCTGAACTATGAAAACTCCCATGGGAAAACTGATAAAGTGAATACATTTGTATTTCTGTTTTTACACACTCTACACTCAGCATTGAAGTACTGAACAGAAACAGAAACTGAGTCGTCAGAGGGGTTTTGAATGCACAAAAAGCAGCAAGTTAAAACAGAAAACTCCACAGGTGATTTAACTGTTTGTCAGGGGAGGGGAGTGGATTTGCAAAAACTTCTATCAGCAACAAGCTAAAAACTTGCTTAGCACCTCTCTGCTAAGCTCTGTTTCCTTTATTATAGAACAGAAACAAGCAAAACCTGAGCAAACTTTGCCTGCTGGTCTCACACCACTGCCTGAGAAATTACTTCCCTTAGGCAGGCACTGCTTCTGCCAGTTTGCTAACTTGGCAAATGTGTATGGGATGAACTTCGTTGTACAGCGTAACAGCCTCCTCACTGCTTATAATCACACTGATGCTGCCATGCAGATGCTGTGATAGTAAGATCTATTTAAAAAAACAGATTAACACCTCTGCTCTAATGATAATCTTCAGAGGTTATCTAAATAATCACGGTAGCCATTTAAAAGAGCGGCTAAGACACAGTATTTCACTCCTAGGCCATAAAATGGTTAATTTTGATAGTTGCAGATAACATTTTCCAGAGGAATTATGTGACCAGTTGGCACAAAACACCAACTGACCAGCAAATTCTCTGTTTTAAAAGTAAAGGCAGGTGACTGTTTATTTCTTATAACCTGCCTGGCAAGTGCTCCATGCCCCCAGTTACACACCATCATTTCAGCCTTTTATCCATACCTCATTTAGAGGTATGACCATGAACCCACAAACTTATTAAAAAACACCCAAAGCACACAAGTGAGAAAATCACAGAATCACAGAATTATTGAGGCTGGAAAAGACCTCCGAGATCATCAAGACCAACCTATGACCTAACACCACCACATCAGCTAGACCATGACACCAAGTGTCACATCCAGTCTTTCCTTAAACACCTCCAGGGATGGTAACTCCATAATGTGCATCAAAGTTCAGAATCATTTGCTGCAGAAATTGCCTTGTTTCCCTACTCCATCATTATTCCAGCACAAATACAGAACAAGGGATACAAAGATAAATTCCATTGTTTTATCCATGAATAAACCTCCAGGTGGTTGTGCTTATGTTAATGTCTGATGCTGAACTGTAGATCTTTTGTTTCCCTGCAAGGAATTAAGGATAGAAGGTTTTTCATATGTGCTCACACTGGCCTTTGTTTCCCAGTGGGAATCTAATCACAGCTTTAGCAGAAACTCTAAAAGCTGCTGAGCCCTTTTGAAAATAACCCCTGTAAGTACTTAGCCACAACTGCTTTGGGTAGAAATAAGCAAAATATTTACTTACAAAGAGTAAACTCAAAAACATGCTGAGGCAACTAAATAAATCTGGTAATCCATTCTGAATACAAAGACCAATTTCAAGCCATCAAAGCCTGTCAAAATGCATTTACCAGGTTGAACATTCTTATGATATTAACCATCATTTTTCATTGTAAGCCACCTACTCATGAGCTTTAATAGATTAAACAGATGAGCCTAGTAAATAAGATTTTGCTATAGCGAAGGATGGAAATGATGAGGCTTAGTTTCAAATATCTGATGTGTTTGGTTATGAAGATTCACAATTACGATGAAAATGGTTGTGTTATCAGAATTTATCTACCAAACTTTATTTATATAGAACTCCTCTGTATAACACGCACAGAGAAAAATCAGCACATGAAGATAATATGTTTATGCAAGAATATTTTCACTTTCCTGGAATAGACTAATAACATTGTATTATATTTTACAATCTTTCTTAGCATATTCTTCCCCTCACAAAGACACAGAGGAGTTAAACTGTTCTGGCAATAGAAGGAAAATTACCTAAAAAGGCACAGTTAGAAGTCAGGCAAGAAGACAAGGCAGGCAGGCCACAATCATGCAATGCCATGCACACTGCTGCATACTCTGACTCCAGTGGAAGCAGAGCATCTTTGACAAGGTTTCTGGGCTTGTGTGATCTGTGCTCAATTCCTGGTAGCACTGATTTGTGTAGGAGGGAGCTGGTATTTTCCTCACTGTTGACTAAAAGCGGTCTGTCAGCAACGCTGGCAGCTCAGATGCAGTTAGATCTTCAAAAGAGGTCTTTTGGCAAGGACGTGCAACATCTTCATTTCCTTGTGTGCACATACGTTGGATCAAGAGCTGTTACCACTGACAAAACCTCAGGCTTCTCATCATGAGGCTGAAAAATCAGACAGGTACTAATACCAGTATGTTCCCTCCGTTATTTTGGTAGGGAAGGCTTATTTGGTGTGGCATTAAAGATAAGAGAGCATACGAGACCCAGGCTAATCAAGTCATGATTTGCAAGGTTTACAAAATAGGATACTTGCATCATGGCCAAACAAAAACCAAAAAGCATAATCACCTTCAAACTTTGTATTTACATAAAAGATCACAGCCCTGAGCCCCATTATTGCATGGTTTCAAGGGCCCAACATGGTTTGTTATCCAGGACATCCCAGCCTTTCATGGTCATCTTACTTGACTCCTCCTTTTGTGTAGTCTGTGCATTGAATGCACTTCACAGCATGAACACAGTGACCAGACTTGTAATCAGTGGTTTTGATTTGTTATATTCAGTGATGCATATTGACGCCGTTCTAAAAAACCTGAGAAGACTACACAACGTGGCAAAAACTCAAAAAGCACCCTTTAATTTCAAAGCCAGAGGCCATTATAGGTGGGACTCAGCACCCATCCAGAGTCTCACTGAGGTAAACACGAGTGTGAAGAGCCACCTGCATGAAGCAGCTTAACAAGGTGGCACCAAATGTATCGGCAAAGTCACTGCATGAAAAGTCACTACAAATGAGACATGTAGGTGTGAACCAGGAAACTGCAGGATGGACAGATGAAACCACAGATCTAAAGCCCTGGTTTCAAAACTTTTATCACATGATCTTAAAACTTTTTAACAGTTAAAAAGGAAATAATGTTTCTCTTAAAAGAAAAAAAACAACCCAATAGCTTATCTGTCTTCTTCTATGAACCTGCTGACCTGCAAGCATTTGAAGATCATAGATGGGATCCTGCTTGTCAAACTGGTGACTAATATTCTCCCAAACACTTTCATCATGCTCAATTTCTTTCCTAAAGCATACCCAGGGTAAGATACAAGAGAGTGATACCAGCTGGTTACTATTTCAGACACACATACCAAGAACAGCTTAGCACTTACAGAAAATGCAGATGCCCTGTGACATGTGGGAGATAATGGCAATGAACCAGAACCTGGTCACAGGATCCCAGGCTCCAGATGTTAAGCCTGTGCCAAGGCATTCACAGAAAGAAGTGCTGATGGAGATAAAACACAGGCATTTACTTCTAAGGCAGAAGATGCATCGAGTGACACCATGTTAAAAGCAACACTGTGAACCCCAAGGGGACCCCTTGGTAGCACATCACTTGGTTGCTGTAGAAGGTACCACTTAGCTGAGGGATATTATTTTAACATTGTGACTTGACAAAAAGATACATTTCAGAGATGTTAGAATGTACATCAAGGATCACTCTCATGGTAATTTAACAGAAAAAGATAACTCCATATCCATCTCAACATCTGTTTATCCTTAAACATAACTTCTTCCTGATTTTCAGTCCAAGTACAAGGCAGTAGCAGTCAAAAATCAATACCAGCTCATGAGGAAACATCACTGCTCCACACTACGTAGCAATAGAGCAAGCTGGGGTGCCCCCAGTTATCTTCTATGGAATGTTCACCCCACACAAGCCTAAGCCATGAGCCCTCCATCAAATCTGCCAATAAATGTCACAGCTGCTTCTGTGGGACTCCAGAGAGACATCAACCTCCTCACACTGCAGCAAATTAAGTTCATGGTTGCATCTCTTGTGTGCTTTTTAATGCCTTAAATGGTTTTTAAGTGTATGAAGCATGCCTTGTTGGCTGCAATTCTTGTTCCCTGCCATTATTCTATCACTGTTGCTGGTAAAAACAAAAACAAACAAACAAACAACCCCCCCCAAAAAAAAAGTTTTGAGTATATATGGTCCCACTTTTCTGTTTTCTTAAACATGCACTCTTGGTTTTATAAGTTAAAGAATAAAAATACTACACAGTTAAATATACTTATATGTAATCAAAAAGAAGAAAAAAAATAATCAATAGAATAACTGAATTTTGAGTTTAAATTACAGTGGAACCAAGAAAACAAATAATGCTGCAAATCAGGAATTTGAAATGAATTTTAACTTCCAATGTTTACTAGAAAAGCCATGCTTATCTCCACATGGCTTGTAGCAACAAACAGATGTGGAGAGGAGCTTGCTTCAACAACAGTCCAAATGGTGCCTTTTAAAACCAGACACAAAACTCAACTCAGATCCCAAACCCAACCAGGAGTTCAAAAGGATTCACCAGAAATATTTGGT